ACATGTACGTTGTTGTAGTTTATGCTACCCTGGTAGTTCGTGACAGTTTTTATGACCAAATTTAAGAGCCTAGGGTCGACATCGAAGTGTCTCGACCTACGGGGTGACACTGGCCTACTTTTTTATATTTAGATTTAGAAATTACCCTAATGGTGTCTGTGAAATCGTTAATAGAAGGACAAAATCGGTCTATCTGCACGCAATCAAGAAACCAAACAAAACTTTAAATACCATTCAAATAATAATTGAAAGTTGACACCTAAATAGTAATGTAATTAAATAAATTATTGTGTTTTATTATAAACGAGACTTGCCCTCGTTTCGCGTACGCGGATTTTGTTCAAAATTTCATAGGTTTTAATTTTTCCAAAATACTTCTTATAACATCAGCTATCTTGCAGTAAAAATCCCGTCAAAATCGGTCCAGCCGTTTTGGGGATTAGCCGGAACAAACAGACAGACAGACAGAGAAACAGTTTAATCGGTCATTTATTACCCTAAATGTGACGAAATATCAAATGACACCTCAAGAACTCTCTCTTACCAGTGGTGTTCGTATGTAGGTCATTAAGGGCTTACACAAAAACCTATCCTACTAGTTTTATACAATTTCACATTTACATACTTGTTTAGAAAAACAAGTCGATACGTCGATACGTGGTGTAAGATTTAGTCACTAGATTCAAGAAACATATACCTAACGTATAACGTAATGAAATTTTAGAGCATGAAAAATATATAACTCGTTAATTTTATAAGTGGCATTATTAAAAAGTATCTAATCTTGCCTTCCGTACAAAAAGATAGCATTTTTTGTTTGTTTATATAATAATAATGAATAAATTGGGACATTAACATACAGCACCATCTAGTTTCATGGTAAGCTACGAGGCTTGTGTTATGGATATCAGATAGTTAGTACAATACACATATATAACTTTAAATACATACATATATTATAAATATATAAACACCTATATCTGGAGTACAAACAGGTGAATGCCCCCAGCGGGTCTCGAACCTACGACCCCTGGCAGAGCAAGTAAGATCACTGCAAACTGAGCCAAATGTTTCGTCATATAGCATAAAAATAGTTAAACATAATACATATTATATATTGGCTTGTAATCTTTCTACGGATGCTTCTTTTTATTCATTAATAATTTATGAGTACATACAAAACAACCTGAAGAATTTATTACATTTTCATAATTATAATCATCATCTATTACAGATAAATAAAATTGAAGTGTCTGTTTGTAATGTGGAAATAACAGCTTTTTACTCAATGCATATGAAATTATATAGGATACTTACATATAAGAAAAACACATTTTTTTAATTTTTTGTCTGACTGTCTGTCTGTTTATTTCGGCTAATCTCCGAAACGGTTGGACTGATTTTGACGGGACTTTTACTGACAGATAGCTGATGCTATAAGGAGTAACATAGGCTACTTTTATCTTAGAAAAAAATTAGGATCCCGCTCTTGGGACGCACCCGATAGGGTAAGTCCCTAGTAAAAAACAAATTAACAAAGTTTTACTTCCTTATTAAAATTAACATTTCTCACACGATAACCAAAAGTAACTCCAGAAATATCGAAATTGTTTATATTTATTATTACATACTTTTAATTTAATAATAATCTAGCACCGGAGTTATTTCAAAAACACTACATCAAAGTCTTAAAATTCTTAATATTCATCCTTCCACATACATACTTCTCCAGAAAGCAGTAATCTTAAACACGTGCCGATTAGTACGAAAGTTTTTGCCACAACTCACAGCCCTAGTTACCCCTTTAAACCCCCTCCCGTTACTTTACACTTGGCTTAGGCCCATGTATAGTAAAAATTACCTTTGTAATTGAAGACATTTCAAAGTTTAAAAGAATAATAATAATTAATTTGAAATTTGTCGTCCAAGGTGCAATAATTTCGTATGAATATAACTTTCGAAACTGAATTAATTGCATTTTTCACACGTTTTCTATTAAATAATCTTATGTATAGTCATGAATTTAATTGTTTTTGATCATGCAAAGAAATTAAATATAAACCGTAGTTTTATTAAATGTGATGATGATGATGATGTTCTCCTAGCCGATTCCGGCCACGGCGGCCAATCTCATTGAGACTAGCCAACTGCGCAGGAGATATTATAGTGCACAAGTGTACGCGCAGACACAACGTGCACTCTCTATTCCTGTCACTCTCATACTCTGGTGGGACGACTGCTCGACACGACCAGTGAGAGTTAAGGCGCAGGACCGACGGCTTTACGTGTTCTCCTAAGGGCACGGGGGTGAACACCGCCAACTTCCCAATTCCGGGCTGTTACTGAGACTTACTATACAGAAAGACTCAATAACTAAACTTGGCCCGACCCGGGACTCGAACCCAGGACCTCCGAGTGTGCAGCCGTACATGCTAGCTACTACACCACCGAGGCAGATAGTTTTATTAAATAATTCATATATAAAAATCAATTTATATACAATTGTATATCTATACATATAATAAAATTCAAACTGAGTACATAGAGTTCATATACATATTTATCCTATAAAAATAAAAACGTCATTTTTTATATATTGGTGAAATATATGAAATTAGTATTTTAAATAAAACTATCTTTTCGGATTTTGTCGCGGATTTATTTGCATTTTTGTTTCCCGACGTTGAAATTGGTAGTTAATATCTTGGATATCTATACATATACATAATGTAATGAAATTCTAACTGAGTCGAATCTGTACATTAAATTTTTTTTGGAAAATCTTATTGAAATAGGCATTATTATCAATACAGAGGCCGAATCTATACTTTTTAGAACTTCTTTCCGTCTGTTTGGGAACGCATCACGAACCACTGGACAGATTTTGATGAATTTGATATATTACAGATAGCTGGCTATCTGGATCGACATAAAGATATTTTTTACTACGTTAAAATATCTCATCTCTGAAAAATTATTTCCTCTTAAGAGTATTATAGTAGATACTAGATAGATTAATTATAATGATGTTCTATGACAGTGTGTTGTTGTTTTCCATTGTTAATAAAAATATTTTATATATAACGTCATTGTGGGTAAAAATTAGACCGCTTATAATACAATTTGGTATGGTTTGACAATTATTTTTGTACAAAAAACAAACAAACAAACCGATTGTGTTTTAAGTGATCTCTTGACGTTCTAAATGCTAATTACGTCGAAAAATAATATATATATGTGCGAATCCTGACAGAACAGGCAAATAGCCGTGGACTAAAGTTAAATAGACTTTGGGGGTTTTTTCTCACCTTCAAAACACATTTTGCCGGGTTACTTGACATTAAAATTTGACATTGGACCATATTTTCTAACTGCAAGGCAGAAAAAGATCACTTGTTTCGTATGACAGATGAAATTTTTCGTCTGTCTTTATATATATATATATATATATATATATATATATATATATATATATATATATATATACAATTTTCAATCCATTCTACGTGACATTGGCGAATTAATCTGTGCTTAACACGCTTTAAAGCCATTAACAATAAAATTGAATTTATTTTTATTTTTAATTTGTATTACGGGTAATAATATTATTGTAGGATACATGCATTTACTACTTTATTATTCGATTATCGATTTAAAAAAAAAACATTTGTTCAATGTACCTACAAGGTGTGGTCCAATTTATAATTCAATATGACCGAAAATTACTACAATTTAAATAAATAATATAGTTATATAATGTAATATATATAATTTTATTTTTACAATATCTAATATATGAATATCTCGTATCTCGGTGTTTGTAGTCGCACTCCTCGAAACGGCTCGACCGATTTTAATGTTTTTTTTTTAATATTCGAAAGGTATAAGAATAGGTTATAAAGTATTTTTTACCCTCCTACCCCTATCCCCCATTTTTCAACCGCGATTTTAGTATTTTTGTATGAACAATATTATATAAACAGCGAGGGTGAGTTGCTGTATAACATAAATTCAAAGAGTTTTTTTTTTGTAGATTGAGGGCATCCGTAGCCGCGGGTTCTGCTAGTAATAATATATATTATACGTTGTAAATGTGAATGTCCGGTGGAAGTGTTCTCAGAGCTACTCGTAGTTATTAAGACCGTAGACCGCCAGGCCATTGACTGCAACCTTTCGCAACTATACTAATCGTACACTCTAGATTTAGTTAACTTGCAATTTCATAAGTTTAAAATAAACACAACAAAACTATACAAAATTAGATTGTAATCCTATTATAATAAATGAGCAATTTTTGTATATATATTAGGATCAAATTTTGTATTTAGATAAGGTTTTCCTTTTTAAGTCTCTATATACGTAAAGATTAAATACATGCCTTTTCTGAAAAAACACATTTTTTATATCATTTCCGAAAAATCGAAGCTCGGTCACCCGAATACTTAATATATTTGAGTGGACAGTACATTTTCTATATAGGTATAAACGATTCTAATCTATGATGTTCAATTTAAACACGTTTGAACATTATGCAAGATCTTCAGCTTGAATATACATATTTAGGTAGATAATAATATATAAAATTATTGAAGTTATACTTCATTTGGCACGTTTGAAAAAAAATATGAAAGTAAAATTTTCACGATGCCCGCGCATACTGACAGCCAAAAAGCGACACGATGAAGTTAGCTGCATTCCTTTTACACTTGAACATTTGTTTTTTTTTGTCGGAGCTTTGTGGCGTTTTCAAAACCTATATTGGCTGCCTAGCCCTTTTCTCCACTACGCTACGGCTTACATCCTGTGCCTAATGGCACAGTTAAATAACTAATATTAAATACATACATCATTCCTTCAAAGGCCTATCAAAATCGGTCTAACTTTTCTAGAGATTCGCAAAAACAAACTTTTTACAATTTGGCTTTGGTATTGTGCAAATAATATTTATAAGGCCGATAAAATTTTACATTGTTATATATCTTGCTTTTTTTCTATTTCAGGCACAATTCTTCATAGTGCTATTCCATTCGATAAGCGCGCTCGTGTATGACTGCGGTTATCCAAAGTAAGTATAAATATATATATATATACACACCATTTTTACTCATTTTTATTGCAAAGTGGACAAACAGAATAAAGAGGTTCCTATTTCCGTTTCCGACCGAAGACTTAGCCAACAATACAATTTATGCTAAGAACAAAAACCGAAGTAAAATGTACATACATACATATAAGGTTAATATAAATATTAACAGAGAATCGAATCCGTAACCTTTGTAGTAGAAAGCCAGTAAGTCAACAAGTTAAATTATGCCACTAAGTCGTCATTTTTAACCTTGTATTCAGCGCTTTAAATCGCCTGATCACCCTCGAAATCCCACTCATAATACAAGTTTGAAAATTTGTTAGTTATTGTGTGTTTATACCTTTTGCATGCTGTGACGGTTTAACGGACTTAAGTAAAATTTGAGATCGAGATAGCTTATGTGTGCATCGCGATCGTATTATAATCCTTGAACCTAGCTCTCTTGCCTTATAACATGGATAAGTACTTCGGTCACAGAACAGAAATAATTTAAAAAAATGACTGTCTTTGTCGCTCGCGCTCAAAAATATTTCCATCTCGCTCACATAAAGCAAACACCGGTTTAACGCGGATATACATTCTCTTTTACTCCCAAAGAAAGAAGAGTGTGAAAATAAAGAAATACAAAGAAGTTATTCAAATAAGTAGAATAATTAAAATAAACCAGTTACCACGCTCGCATCACTTAACGCTGGTAATTTTATGTTTTACGCATGTAATGGCTATTGTGCTTTTCTGTATTTTTTATTCAAATGTTGATTTCTAAAATTTCTCTTTTAGAAATTCTACTAGCTTTCAAGTATACATAAACAAACATACAGACAAAATGTATTTTTATATATAATGGTATACCGACTTTGATTATACTTCAATATAAAGATATATTTTACTCTCATATTTTTTGTAAGTTCATAGCCGATTAAAACCGTGTAATGTACACAAAAATACATTAGAACTGAAAGTTCTCTTGAAAAAAAATATTATTTTCTACCACAAACAACAAAAACATCCTTACAAAATGTATGTTATCTGCAAAATAAAAATGTACGAGTGTTAAAATTAAACAAAAAAAAACGAATTTTAATATTAAAATTGAATGCCTTTCCAATATCTTCTTCCTTCTTTCTATTTTACCTATTTTCTCATATGTGCCTCTATGAAATATTTACTCAAATGTATGTATGTACATTGTACATTAATATAATAATGTATGTATGTATATAAATGTTTATATGTGTAGTGAACTATCTGATTTCCATAATACAAACCTCGTAGCTTACCATAGAACTAGATGGTGCTGTGTTAATGTCCCAACATATTTAAAACACAATTTATTTTGAGTTAGGACAAAAAATATATTTTTTTTATTTTTTCCAGAGCCATTGCTTCTGGTCTTATTCTCCATTCAACAATTTTCATCGTGCTCTTCACAAATTTCTACATACAAGCGTACAAAAAGAAAAGTTTACAAAAACCCAAAGTGACAGTAGACGCTTGTAATAATAACACGAATGGTTACATCCCTATGACTCATATGAAGAATGGAAATGTCCACTCTGTAAGTAACATCACTAATGGGTTCACAAACGAAGTGAATAGAAACACTGGATATATTCAAGACTTAAGCAGTCAATCAAAAACCAATGAGTATGTAAGTGAGTTGAACACTACGCAGCATCGAAATGAATTAAACAGCTATATAGATGGTCACTTAAAAGAAAAAGTGCAGTAGTCAGTACTTGTAAATAAGACTTTGTAAATAAAATATATGGTACAAAGATAATGGTGGATATAATTGCTCAATTTTAAAACGATGGAAACGTTTGGTGGAAATAAGGTTTAATATTTTTTTTTTATTACATCGAAATTTCAATGCCAGTGATGTTTTAAGTTTTTATGCGATTTTTTTAAACAAAATTTTCGACAGTAAATAAATAATGCAAATATATAAATTGTACAGTATACTTTAAATGTACTTAAGCTAATAAGTCTATCTTATTCGTAAACGTTAAACCATACCTCGTAAATCTTCTTCGAATCTCCATTATATGATATACGCTATATTTGCCGTTTCTGTCATTTATATGAAATATGAAGTTTGAGGGAAAGAGACAACATATAATTAAACTTTAACGTTTATGATTAAGTTTATTTGTATGTACATAATAAATGATTATAATAAATAGTGTAAGTCAATAGCAGTGATTGGCTTTTATTGAATCAATAAAAGCTAAATGTATTTCTATTGAAGATATTATCTTGAATAACGGAAATGCTACTGAAAATTAAAAAAAAAATTTTTTATAGAAATCAAACGAAAATAACAATTTAAAGTATATTTCTTTCGATTACATAATTTTACATTTTTATTATTGTTTTTTTTTTAATGTAAAATACTTAACTTTTCGGTACAGATTACATCACTTGAATTTTTTTTTGGACATTACAAAATCTTTTTCGGATATTCCACTGCGAGCTTGCTATAAATATATAAAAGAATAATTAGTTTTATATTTAATTTTAAATAATCAATAAAGCTATCGTGGAACAAAGCGAAATGTTACCAACTGAAAATTTAATTGTAATACAATAATTAAAAGTAAAGAATAATACTTTGTTAGATTTACGCGAATATTTGACATTTTAAATTAAACTATCTTTTCGGATTATTTCGCGGATTTATTTTGATTTTTGGTTCCCGACGTTTCGAATGCTTTACAGCAAACATGGTAACGGGAGAGACTGATCTCTATCTAAATCCGCGAAATAATCTGAAAAGATAGTTTTATTTAAATTGTAAAGGAATTTACGATGACTAACAATTAATTGTAAAACATATTGTCTCAGATTAAAGAATTGTATAGACGGAGTCCGCCAAAAAAATGTCAAAGTTAAAAATATATATTAAAGTCATTTTGCTTTATTTAAAGAACTAGTGACTCGCCTTCGCTCTGGTCGGGTTCATCCCCATTGTACGTTTTAACGGTTAGTATAGATTTCTCAGAGATGTGAAATTTTTCTGCAGTAAAAAGTATCCTATATGTTGACCCGGATAATCAGCTATCATCATATTACCAAATTTCACCAAAATATGTCCAGTGGTTTTCTGGTGATGCGTTCTCGGACAGACAGATAGATACAAAAATTCTAAAAACTATAGATTCGGCCTCTGTATCGATAATAATGACTATTTCAATAAGATTTTCCAAAAAATATTCAATGTACAGAGTCGACTCAGAATTTTATTATATGTATAGATAAGAATAAAATATGAATAGTAAAAATAATACTATGTACTTTGTATTCTTTAAGCATAAGTTCTCTTCCCCTTAAAAGAGAGATAGCAATATATTAGCTTATTTTTTTCTTCATTATATTACAATCTGTTAGCAATTTTTTTATTAACATTTATCATAAGTTTTCTATTAATATATGTACTACACTGTTTTAAAATATTTTTGTTTGGCACCATATTCAGTTCTATGACACTCCGTTTATATTATTCCTTAGTCTGAGCATACTGTATATTATTTATAAATCAAAAATATAAATCAATAGTTTGCTGTTGATAATTTAGCAGATTAATAATGAATCAGTGATAATTAGAAATGTTAGATATTATCAATACTTACAAATAAAAATTAATTGAAATCGAAATAAACTAAACTAAATGCATAATATAAAATATATGTATATATAAATCTAACGACACGTTTGGCTCAGTTGGTAGTGTACCCTACTTGCTGTGCCTGGGGTTGTGGGTTCGAGTCCCGCTGGGGACATTCATTTGTGTGATGAGCACTAATGTTTGCACTTCAGTCATGGGTGTTTATATTTACAATATGTATGTATTTAAAGTTTATAAATGTGTAGTGTACCAACTATCTGGTATCCATAATTCAAGCCTCGTGCTCACCATGGAACTAGATGGTGCTGAGTGCTAATGTCCCAACATATTTATTTATTTATATGTATACTTTTTCTATATATTTTTGGTGCTATATTTTTATATATGTTTTTGTAGATATATTACTTCGGTACAGATATTTTATGGTCAAGAATTGACTAAACTACCTCATAGTCTTCCTTCCTGCTTTTCCGTCCAATAAAGCTTTATTTAATTGTAGGTGTAAATGTAAGATGTGTTTATGAATTTTAACTAATAATATAATCTGTATGTTACAAATGTACAATTTTTATTTAAAAAAATTTTTTTTTCTTAATCCCTCCACGATCGCGGACACTCCGGCGTTACTGTTAACAATAGATTTCTTGAAAATTTAATTAATTTCTCAGAAATTTACCTGGAGGTGTTAATCTTAAAAAAGCTATTGTTTTAATACTTATTATTCATAAAATGTCACGACAAATACAAAGATGTGATGAAAAATGTTACCTTTTATAAAAAAAGAAATTTTGTATATTATTTATTACATTTTTTTATACATTTATTAATCAGTATTAACAATTTCAAAGTATTTCTTTATCTTTTTTAAATAATTATAGCTCTCGGTGGAAGTGAAAAGATAAACATGTGAAGGCATGCACAAGTCATTTGTAGCAAAAATATTACAATGTATAGTAATAGAATAAGAATTTATACGATGTTGTAAAAACTTTTTTAATTTTTACATGAATAAAAAATAAAAATATATTCGAATAAACTGTTTATTATTTTTATCAAACTGAATTGTCCCTGCGTGTGTTTCTAGGTGTAATTTATTAATATAGCTAGCGACTCATCATCTCTTCGGGTTCGTCAGTAGATAAAAACAAATATATCCCACGGGAACTAGATAGATTTATCTATTTTGGATAATTCTTAGAATACCAAATTCCTTTTTATAAAAGACAAGATCTATATTAATAATAAAAAGAGACAGCGTTAGTTTGTTTATTTGTTTGAACGCGATAATCTCAGGAGCTACTAATCTGATTTGAAAAAATCTTTTTGCATTAGATAGCCTGTTTATTGAGAAAGTCTATAGGCTTTATATCATCATGCTACTACCCAAGGGAGCGGAACAGTGATCATAAATGTTAACAAATCGGGCAGACTTCCATATATTATTACTAAAAGCGTAAAGCCAAAGAGTTTTTTTTAGTTCTAGAGCGAGCGAAGCCTCAGGTTCTGCTAGTGCATGATAAAGTTTTAATACTAAAATATAAGAAGTCACTCAACAACATTTGAAGTTAAATTTTTTTTATAAAACCTAAACTATATAAGCAAATACAGACTACATTCATGGTTTAAAAACCGTATTGTATTGTTTATATTATGATCTTTAGAACGTCGGAGAAAGTTTTCGTTGATTGAGAAAAATTACATCGTAAATTCCCTCTGTAACGATAAGTTCGTTAGCGAGATAAATGTACATATTTATAAGGCAACGCTTTGATATCAGGTTGATTTAAGAATATATTCATACTTTAATGCCACTTTTATAAAGCACCGCGTTCAGATTACCAAAAACCAAATTCTTAGGTTTTACATATTAGTATACTCTTACATTGCAGTTTTTGTCAGAAATGAGATATTTTCCCGCGGTAAGAGGAATCCTATATGTTGACTTGGATAACCAGCTATCATTATACCAAACTTCATCAAAATCCCTCCAGTGGTTTTTCTGTGAAGTGGTAACAGACAGACAGACAAAAAATCTAAAAACTATAGATTCGGCGTCTGAATCGATAATAATGTCTATTTCAAGATTTTCCAAAAAATATTTAATGAACAGATTCGGCTTAGTAAGAATTTTATTATATGTATAGATTTTTGGTTAATATAATTGATTATGAAATTCACGATACCTTGTTTTTTATCTTTTTAATGGTTTGCTTCATTATGCACTACCATATACCTAGGTATTATTTGCAGGTTGTTTTCTAAAAAAATAATATTTTAAGCTATGTTTCAATGCGAACTGTTCCCAATAGATTAAATATAATTTGATTCAATTCCATCCGTTGTACTTTACAAGTAAATAATAATCTGTCTCAGAGTTTTTAAATCAATGCAATGCCATTAATTAATCAATACATGTAGCTATTTCAGAAAATTTTTAAAATATATTAATAACTAATACGTTAGTAAGACTTTCACTGGAAGATAGCTGATGTTATAGGGAGTAACATAGGCTACTTTTATTTTAGAAAAAGAATTAGGGTTTAGCTCAAAAAAATTAAAACATACGCTAGTATTTAAATAAAAACGTATTTTTTTTAATTTAAATAAAACTATATTTTCTGATTTTTTCGTGGATTTAATTTTTGATTTCTGAAGTATTGAAAACGTTGCAGCAAACTTGGTCACGGGCGAGACTTAGGTTTTAGACGTCTCAACAGTACAATAGTGTTGTTACGTCTCTCAAAAAAAACAAAAGAATTTTCTTCATTTTAAGAATATTTATGACAAAATCTAAATAAATCCGCATAAATCAAAGAAAATATTCTATGATTTTTTTAAGTTTTATTTTTATCTGGAAAAATGCTTAAAACTTAAAAATCTATATTTTTTAATATTATAAAATAAATCTAGTATTTAGGTTTTACGTTTTAAAAAATCCTCTTTCGTAACTTTTGTAACAAATATCAATTATTTCCATTTTTCGCTATTATTGTGTATTTACATATTGAATATACAATATTTTAAGGCGCAAAATATAAAACAGTGACATCTATATGTAAGTTAAGGAACTAGTTGAGCGTTGCCGACAAAGTTAGAAGCTT